TCCAAAAATTATTCGCTTCCCAACTACGCACTTCTCGTCCATCCACCAATTCACCATTGATTCACTGCCGTACCCAATCTCTCAAACAAATAACCGCACAAGCCCTGACCCGCATCAAAACAAGCAAACATACTCTCTCTTCTCTGGCTCTCTTGGCAAGTCCCCGTTCTGAGTTTCTGCTGACAATTATATAGACAAAAAAAAGATTATTCGGGCAAGATGCGGTGACCACGTGCTGTCATCAATGCGATGTCTATGAATCGTGAGACGTAACTCGATTGCTTTCCTTCCCTACTCCATTTCTTTACTCATATCAATGCCCACTCCTTCCTTCACATTACATCATTGGTTCAATACATTTATTTAAAAAGAGGAGGCAGTCCTGAGCCATTGGGGTTAGACAAAGTAAGTAGAAATTTCATTACAGAGAAGAGAAAGTGTGTTTGCTACACTTGATACAATTTTTTTGCTAAACTTTGAGTTGGAGGTGTAGATGATAATAGTAGGGAAGTGATGAAAGAATCGTCGCATGAAACATTTGGTGAATTTTGATGCATTGTTCAATGACTTATGATCGACTTCGATGAGACTTCAACATTATGCATGGTACGAAACGCAAAACTTCCCCAGCAAAACATCAAGATTCAATGTGAGCAAGCAGGCACGTCGATGGTTATCATAATTTGGTATATTTGTCGTGTTCGTATTTTGGAGCTCATTTCTTCGTAATGATAGTCAACCGGTTTCCAGGAAGGCCCCGCACAGAGAAAATGTTTCTCTATGTTCCAATTTCGATTTGCACAAAATCGAGCATGAACCTGGTGGGTATGTCGCAGACGATACCTCATCTGAAAGCCGTCGCGGTACAGCGACTGAATATTCGAGACTAGTAGCCACCATCACCAGATCATGAGAGCGACTTTATTTGGTCGCAAGAGTTCTCCATCCTCATTTTTAATCTGCATAGTTCTTCAAGTGACTATGTGCTTATGTGCTTCGTCCCCGCGCATAGGTATTACCAGCTCTCCTTAGATACCTTTGACTTTCACATCTTCGCCCTTGATAGCGCCTCCGCTGATTTTCTCCAATTCCTCCTCGAGTTCCTTTATTTCCCTACGTTTGCCTGCTTTCAATTCATCTTTCTCCAACTTCACCCAGCCCCAATAGGTCAATTGATATATGAAAGTTGCCATCAGGAGAGTTTTTGCGATAGGGCGAGTGAAAGTTTTGTAGAAGGTGCGCTTGGTAGGTATTAGCCATAATGTATAATCAAATTGGCAAAAGTAGTTGAAGTGAAAATGTGCATCTACTGAGAATAATCGGACGGCTTACAGTAGGTGAAGGAGTTTCTGAGGATGCAAATCGTCGTTGCGATATGGATGCGCCATTCCTTGCCAGGTATTTTGAGCTCCTCAAGAGACTCATCGAAGTGCGGTTCATTTTGCCCAGTCTTTTTCCTTCTTTTCCGCTTCACTTGTTTTAGTTTCAATTGTTGTTCATCCCATTCCGTCACATGGCATCAAATTCGATCATTGAAGTGAGGTTCAAAAATGCCATATTGAACGGTCGGGTAATTATCGGCTGTCTTTGCGGCCCACTTATTTGAGCTACAAGCAATCATATCGTGCATGTTGCGAGGCTGCGACTTTTATAATGTTATTCAATAGTCGACAAAATTATACGAAAGTCGCTCGTCTCACTTGATTCAAACCGCTTCTGTTTATCAAGAGATCTCCAATACTTAAAATAGCATGGCTTCTAAAAAGTACGCGCTGCTTCCTATGGAGGAAGAGGAAATAGGTCCAGCAAAAGTGGTAGCAAAGAGGAAGGAGAAAAAGTCACACCGCGAAAGCTCCTCGCGGCGCGACAGACACCGAGAAAAGTCACCTCGTCGAGAGAGGTCCCCGCGTAGAGATACAGAGCAGCGCTCAAAAACCATCCGAAATAAGGCGGATGATGATTATGAGGAACGATGGGGCGACGAAGAATATATTTCCGAGGACGAACCAGAATTTCAGGAGCCTGCCTCGAAACGGGTTAAAACAGTACATTCAGACGACAATATTTCGGATTCAGAAAAAGAACGAAGGAGAGATCAAGCAGAGAAAGATGCTTTCGCGCAGAGACTTTTGTCGAAGAATTCCGACAAATCGAAGACAATACTCGAGGATAGATCCGACCCTATCATGGCACAGAGAAGAGCATTGGCCGATGATGCTGCTGCAAGACGTGCTGCAATGCCAGATCTCAGGGAAAGGTCGAGGCAAGAATATTTGAAGAAGCGTGAAGCGGAGCGTCTTGCTTTGCTGAGGAGACAGGTTGAGGACGAAACGAGGGAGCTTAATGACCCTTATTCCAATTTATCAAAGAAAGAGAAAGCAGAGTTTGCCAAGAATAGAGAGCTTCTTCGACTTGCCGACGAAAGATCAAGAATTGATGATCACCGAGATGGCTACGCTATGCCAGACGATTATATCACAGAGAAAGGAAAGCTTGATCAAAAGAAGAAACAAGATGCACTATACAAACGCTACGTCGAAAGAGATGAATATGGTCAGGAGAAATTTGTTTCCGAGCATGAAGAATGGGATAGGCAACAAGAAAAACTCGCCAGAAACCAGATTCAAAGCACCGAACGAGTCGACCAGGGCGAATATGATTACATTTTGGACGAGGAGCAAGGGATCAAGTGGATCATGGATTCGAAATTACCGGGACAAGGCATGGATAAAGAAGCAAGATTTTTAGGTGAACAGTTGAAGGCTGCTGAGCAGAAAGCAAAGACAATTGAGGAGACGAGGAAAAATCTTCCAATCTATGCTTATAAGGACGAATTTTTGGCTGCTCTTGATCAGTTCCAAACTATTATCCTTGTTGGTGAGACAGGATCTGGTAAAACTACACAATTACCACAGTATCTCCATGAAGCAGGGTATACTAAAGATGGTATGAAAATTGGAGTTACCCAACCTAGGAGAGTGGCAGCCATGTCCGTTGCTCAACGTGTGTCAGAGGAAATGGGATGCAAGATCGGAAATGAAGTCGGTTACGCTATCCGTTTTGAAGATTGTACAAGTGATAAAACTCTCATCAAATATATGACGGATGGTCATCTTTTGAAAGAGGTCATGATTACACCTTCTCTAGACGAGTATCAGGTGATCATGATTGATGAAGCTCACGAACGGACTGTGCATACCGACATACTTCTAGCTTTGCTCAAGGATCTTGCCAAAGAAAGGCCAACAATTAAACTTCTGATTGCTTCCGCGACTATTAACGCACAGGCTTTCTCAGACTTCTTCGATGGCGCTCCTATCTTCAATGTTAAAGGACGTAGTTACCCAGTCGAAATTTATAATACCCCACAGCCAGAAGCTAATTATCTTGCTGCTGCCATTACTACACTTTTTCAGATACATACCTCTCAACCAAGTGGTGATGTGCTGATATTTTTAACAGGTCAAGATGAGATTGAGGCAGCGGAAGAACGAATAAGTGATATCTCAAAGAAATTGGGTTCGAGAGTGCCTGAGCTCGTTATTTGTCCTATTTACGCAAATCTTCCAACCGATCTCCAAACCAAAATTTTCGAACCAACACCTAAAGGAGCACGAAAAGTTGTTTTGGCAACCAATATTGCAGAGACGAGTTTGACTATTGACGGCATTGTTTATGTTATCGATCCAGGATTTGTAAAGGAGAATATCTATAACCCAGCGACTGGAATGTCGAAGTTGGTTACAGTAGCATGTTCACGAGCGTCTGCAAATCAAAGAAGTGGTCGTGCTGGTCGTGTAGGACCCGGAAAGTGCTTTCGCTTGTACACAAAATGGGCATTTATGAATGAAATGGAAGAAAGTACTACTCCTGAAATTCAGCGAACAAATTTGAATGGCACAGTCCTACTGCTTAAGTCACTTGGAATCAACGATCTCTTGACATTTGACTTTATGGACCCTCCACCAACAGAAACCCTAATTGGTGCCCTCAACCAGTTGTACGCGTTGTCTGCATTAAACAACCGTGGAGAACTAACCAAAATTGGAAGACAAATGGCCGAATTCCCAACAGATCCTCAAGTTGCGAAGTCCATCATTGCTTCAGACCAACTGGCATGCTCTGACGAAGTATTGAGCATCATGGCAATGTTAGGTGAAAGTTCGGCATTATTTTTCCGTCCTAAAGGAGAACAGAGAGTGCACGCAGATAGTGCTAGAGCGCGTTTCACGATCAAAGAAGGAGGGGACCACCTCACCTATTTGAACATTTGGAATCAATGGGTGGACAATGATTTCAGTACTATCTGGGCAAAAGAGAACTTTCTTCAGCAACGTTCCCTCACTCGAGCTAGAGATGTTCGAGACCAACTTGCAAAGCTTTGTGAACGCGTGGAAGTTACAATCGCTAGTTGCGGAGCGTCAAATCTGGAGCCTATTCAGAAAGCGATTACGGCCGGATTTTTCGCCAATGCAGCACGATTACAACGAGATGGAGATAGTTATCGGACAGTCAAGAGAAATACTACAGTGTACATACATCCTTCGTCAGTATTGATGGCAAATGATCCTCCTATCAAGTTAGTTGTTTATCATGAACTTGTACAAACTACAAAGGAGTACATGCGCAGTTGCATTCCCATCAAAGCAAATTGGTTGTATGAGCTTGCGCCACATTATCATAAGAAGAAAGAGATAGAGGAGATGGGAGACAAGAAGTTGGCGAATCGGAGTAGGACATGATACCATAGCACATAGCACGTTGGGTTTAGCCTGACCATCAATCACCTTTCATGAAATTTGATGTCACCCAAAGTTTGGGATTATGAGTTGTTACTCTTCCATCTTGATTTTTGTCTTCATATAGATACCCATAAGTTGAGAGGGTCATAACCTCGTTTTATACCACTATTACTTGCAAAATTGTCAAATCGCAGGATATCCTGATCGGTTATATCCACTCAGTGAGTACAATAATGCAAATTATTCCCTTCAGCCGGATTACTTTTGCTTTACGAAAGCTACCTTACATGGATAATGATCTGCCGGATGACCGCCTCCCCGAAGCATCATGTATGCTCTTTGACCATTTACATTCAAACCCTCTGGATTACCCTTCATTTCATCATACTCCTCGTAAGCATCCTTGAAATCAAAATCTCGAATGGTCAATGCAAGCATGAGTTTTATTTCCGTCATGGTTACTTCCTGGCCAATACAATTCCGAGGACCGCGCTCAAATGGTCGCCATCCATTTTTGGGCGGATAGAGCTCGTCGCTTTCGGCTACGATTCATCGTTCTGGAAGAAACTCTTCGGCTCGCGGCCAGTGGGCAGGATTATGATGTGTGGCATAATGATCGCCCCAGACTATTGTTCTCTCGGTGGGGAAACGAAGGCCATTGTCCCCTATCAAAGAGAAATAAGATTGTCCATCGCGAAGCGCGGCGACAGTGGGGTAAATGCGGAGACTCTCTTTGATGATCGCAATGGTGTAAGTAAGCTGGTTCAAGAGTTGTGGCTTGGAAGCAATTACAGACTCAGCATCCGCAATGTTGGCCCCTAGTACTTCGGTGTGCTCTGCCCGGACTTTTTCCAGTACATTTGGATGTTGGGATAGCAGATGATATGTAAAGATTGCACCAGCAGAGGCGGTGTCGTGGCCAGCGAAGATGAATAATTTTATTTGCGCCATGGCGAAATTCTGGAAACTTTTATCGATGCCTGTTGCTGAGGGATTCTCCGCAAGATACGCTTTTAACGCTAAATCCACAATCGATTTATCTTTTTTCTGTACCTCAGTGCCTTTGATGCTTCGATAGCGTTTGTCGAGTTCTGGAGATAAGTAACGGTTCATTCGATAGCTGTTGTATGCATGCACAAAAGGGCGAAAGATATTGATGTATTCCAAAAGATTAATGTTCATGCCTGTCGTACACCATAACAGTTGCCTTCGCAATGCTGCTGTCATTTCGTTGTAGCTAGTTTGGCTGCAAAATCTGTGGTCCCTGGTAAAGAGTATTTGCATCAGTCAATGTTCGGAAAGTGGCGTTCTTGGTAGTCTGGGTTGTATTCCGATAACCAGAAGCTTTCGATTTCTGAATTCAACTAGGACATTCAATACGTCTAAGATTATGAATCCGTTTGGGCATTATACTGCTTCCAGAGATTGAGAGCATACATCAGGTATGCTAGTCGGCGATATAGGATAGCCCTGCCAGAATAAAAAGAGGCTTCACTCACATTGCAACTCTCCCAATAATATCGATTGTAAGGTTCAAACTGGCATCTTCGAGAAATATCATTTTACCACTTTTTGCATGTTTCTTTAGCAGATCTTTGAATATCTTGATCTCTTCAATCATTCCCGGAACCAGACTTGACACATGACCAGCACTAAATCCAGGATTGAATATAGCTCTCCAGTATTTCCAAGTATCGCCTTCCAAAGTAACCAAATCAGATTCGCCGGTCAAGGGCTTCAGGAATGCACGAATGCCTTTATCTTTTGGTATTTGGTTTGCCTGAGTTAGTTGGTACATCATATCCGGCTTAAGCACGACGAGAATTGGGGCAGCGAGAGGCCAATTATCGAGGTAGAAGGCGCTGTCGAGATGGGGATATCTCTGGCGAATTTGGTCTCCAACGTAGACGCCATGGGCGTATGGAGGGAGACTGCCAATGATACTTGCACTGAGAGGTATGTGTCCGAGTAACCAATGATGGGGTGGCATAGGCTTGAGATCGGTTAGTCGATGTTTTTTAAATGGAAAGCTGATTGGTGGTTGATCACCAAACGGGCTTTGAGAACGTACAAGACCTTGCTTCTGGAGTCCTCGAATGAAACTTCGCACTCGATATAGTTTTATTACAAATGTAGTAACAAGTACAGCCAATATGGCACCAGCCACTCTAAACAGCAGGGCCATTAATGGTTCGTCCATGCTGTTAGACTTTGTATATACTTTATTACAAATTTGATTCGGAAAGTAACACGTATAATCAAGTTGCTATGTCTTTTAGGGGCTACCAGAGCTATGGTTTGTGATTTCATGATGAAGTGCCAACAACAAACGGTTGGTATAGCCGAGATTTAGTCTGATTAGTTGGTAAATGTCCATCTGCAGTAGATGTACTGTTCTCGGTATACCAACAGTTGGATTTATACACGGCTGGAGTGGAGTGAAACGGGCTCGCGGGGTAATATATTATGCGGCACAGCTCCTGTTTGCATTTATAGTTATCCAATCGCCCTAAGGTCAAAACATAAATCAGTTACTGAGAAATGTAGCTTTCCATAGAGATTTGAAGGCTCTATGGAAGTAGTCTTTGAGGATTTTAGTGGGAGTGTTTTTTTACTATCAATATTATATAATTTCGCTTCTCTATTTGTTTGTAGAGGGAACGAAACATATAGACGACTAGAATTAAATATAGAATAAATAGTATTAAAGATTTATTTATATAATAAAAGGGGATTATTTATAATAAAATTTGTTAATATAATATTAATTATTATATTTATAAGTTTTTCTAATAAGTTTTTCTAATAAGTTTTTTAATAAATTTTAAAGCAAAATTGTTGATTCGAGAAGGATACGAAAGACGTAGCACCCACGTATTCGTAGGTCCTAAATGTCTAATTGTATTCTATCTAAAGAGCTAGCTAAGTGGGAAAATAGTAGGCCTTATATAGGCACTACTGAAAGAGCTAGTCTCTTTCGCATTCGCTTAATACCTTTGATACAGTAGTCATTATATTGAAGTCATTCCTTTGAAGTGAATATCTATCACGGTGCAAGGGATAGGTACTAGAAAAGACGTGTAGAATAGGTAGATTTATTGGTATTAAGTGTAGTGCGTATTCTATTGAAAGCTATGTACAATCCAGTTGACTATATCAATCAAGATGATTACGTAATACGCCTAATGCGTTTAGCCTGCTTTCTCATACAGCTTATAAATATCGTTGTCAATAGTAAGATATATAGCTTGCTTGGCTTTCCAAACCTATAACTTAATAATATTCTTTTTTTCTAAGAAAGATGATATATTGTCAACCTTGACTTTAGCCCATTCAACACAAACTGTCAAGGCAATAAAGTTATTCGATATTGTAGGAGGATTTGGCAAATAGTATATCGAAAGGATTTCTTGAATTTAAAGAATAGAAAGTTAAAATCGTAATTTAATAAATAATAGGATTAAATCTTCGGAGGGGTTTCATATATCCTTTAGCAATTACTAAGCGAATGGGAGATAAAGGTTTCGTTTTTCAGAATTAAAATAAGAGTAATATCAAAAGAATCGAATAATAGTTTGGATTTGCTTAAAGGAGATAATGCTGATATCGTTCAGAATGAGATTGAAAACCTGCACTACAGATTTCCGGAATTAAGAATAATATTAAAAAGGTGTCTTAAAAGTCAAAAGGAATTTGTATTCTGATAGTAAGATAATGCTAAGTCCTTACGGGAAATGCTATAAAAGTGAATATATAGAGTATTTCTAAAAAGAGGGGTATTTGAAAAATAAAAAGAAGAATCAGAAAAAGTTGTTCAAACGTTGGATTTCTGTAACTATATAACGATCCTCCAAATCAATGAGATTGTATGATATTTACAGCTTTTTTGAAAGCTCTTTTAATGTCGGTATATTAATCGTTGTATAGACACTACCGTACAATGAATTTAGAGATAAAGAGGGTTTCTGAATATTCTTAATTAAAAGGCTTAATTATAAAGAGAATAAAGATAAGATATTAAACATATCTTGAATCCCTGCGTAGGTCATTAGAAAAGACGTGTAGAATAGATAGATTTATTGATATTAAGTATAGTGCGTATTCTATTGAAAGCTATGTACAATCCAGTTGACTATATCAATCAAGATGATTACGTAATACGCCTAATGCGTTTAGCCTGCTTTCTGTACTAGATTGGATATATGATATTCTACAAAGAGATTGAAAGTGATATTTATTTATTTATTTATTTATTTATTTATTTATAGTGATTAACGTCTTGTAGAGGACCTCCCGAGGGGTATGAAAGACGTGGCTAGATCTAGAGTTACAAATACAGAAAGGCGCTGATGTGTACACTAGTAAAACCTCACAGGGTAAACCCAGTTCCTTTTATATATCCTAAACAAGCCAGTGTAATGATTGCAAATAGGGCTGTTTTGATTGGCCCCATATTCCTAGTGCTTCCTTTTGCTCATAGAGAGGAGTGCTCTGATTGTATAATTATTTTTGTTATAGAACTATGTTTTATGGACAAAAGTGGTGTATATAGATATACTGTTTCAAAAAAGCAGGTGTGTATGTAATGGTATTTTAGAGGAACGGAGGATTCGGTTATTGGGCTGCTCAAGAGAAGCAGCCGGAACAATGGTTCCGCTGAGTAGCGGGATGGCGCATAGGCGCAGTGGTGGTGGCTGGAGGGGGGATCAGTTTTCCTTCAGCATTTGATTGATCGCTTTTGCGGCCCATAATAGAAAAGCTTTATTAAGGTTAGTAATAGATTGTTGAAGCTCAGTAAAGCTATGTCAGGAGATTTATATTAAGGTGGTTTATGAGGTGGTATATAGGGTGAATCCATGTGAATCAGATCGCTATAGTTATAAGTCGTAGAATAGTAGGAGAGTGACCCGATCACTCTATCACTGAACCAGCCAGGCTCCTTGCGGAGGACAATGGTCTTTTTGTCATTGAAAGTGATATGATGTAATTTTACCATATAATGGCAAAGATGATTAAGCATCTATTATGCTAATATATTATGCTAATGAATTCGTAACAATACTTTCCCTTTTAAGATTTACTTGTTCTAAGTAAGCTAAGAGAAAGTATACTATGCAAATCGCACTTTTTTTTTGTTGTGATGAATGTCTTTGCTTTTCAAGTTCTTTTGTAGTTTCTTGTTTAGGGATCAAAATTGCTTTAGCTTCCGGGTTTTCCAGTATTCATTTTGGTAAACCTAATTTTTCTGGATGTAAGTGATAATAGTGAGCTATGATTTTTTCATTACTCTTAAGATTTAAGATTGGTTGTCAAGTTGGGGTGTAATATTTCCATTTGATTAAATAGTAATATTCATCCTCATTATAATTATCTAAAATATTTTCGAATATCTATTTCTGGATTGGCTTTTCTTTATCGTTTTTCTTTTTAAGGATTCTATTCTGTGTAATAATAGCTTTTGCTTTATTGATCTGGGATTATATCAGGAACTATTTGTTATTATATATTGGTAGAAATAAAGAGTAATGAAAGATAGGGAAGATTTGTATATTCTTTAATAATTGAATAAAACAAGATTATAGATAAATTTTAATGATTTTGTAAAATCCAATTTATTTATTATTTAGTTTTTTTGCTTTTCGAAAGATCTTTATATTTTTTGTATTAATAAATATCTTTTATTCTATACAATATCGGGGCGAGTCAATTTGATATCAATTTGTATACTCCTCATATATATCTATGGTTTGTTTAGCAAATACTTGAAATTAATTCAGAATCCTTTTTATTTTATTTGTTATTTTATTATTCTTAAAGAATTTACATTTTTAAACTAATATCATTTCTGGTGGGCAGGGTTTGCTTGACTTTATATTAATATTTGGATTAAAATTGTAATTAACAAAAAATAAAGAATATCCTATAGTTTCTAAAACTATATTGTTAAAGGCAAATTCTATTAATAATAGCTATTTTATCTAATCATTTTAATAAAAGTTAATAAAAGTGTGTAGATATTACTTGAGAATTTTATTTTATTTATTTATTTATAGTGATTAATGTTTAATATCTAACCTCCCAAGAAGTATTCTAGACATACTAAGGAGCGGGCCTACAGGCCGCTAGCGTTCCAGCCACTTATAGTAGTGTAATGTTAGCTAAACAGGGGCTTGTTGCCTCTAGTATTCCTCTGCTCAGTATTGCTCATGGCGATCCTGCGGCTGTTCTATCTAAGGGTTTGTGGTCCTGTTTCAGAGGGCCTTGTTTCGTATGCCATCCGGATATCGGCGAATAATCAGATCGATCGCTATCGATCGGGAAAGCACTCGGAACACTTATAGCTATTCAATACGGGTCTTAGGTTGATCGAAATGAAGAGCTCATCCTCGGAGTATTAGAGTAGATTGGAATTCGCGTAGTTCCGCGTAGTTTGAGCATATCCTAATATAGAATCTGGATCTAGCGAGAAGGTCAATAAAGCTATATTGTATTCACAGAACGCGATTGACATATACTATCGCATCCCATTCGGATCGAAATCGATTTGGTGCAAGCAGCCAGTCGCCGCGCGTCTGATTATTGATTGAACATTGAAAGAAATGCAATGGGCTTTTCTCAGTCCCATATATACAAGTGTTCGTACTATTTTCATAATTAAATCTGATATGATAGGCTGCAAAGTCACCGTGTCCGGTCCGCATCGCTATGAGTCTGTGTAGTACCCCGCGAGGGAGATTATATTACTTGAGAACTAAATTGATATACTCTATTTATCCATTTGTTTGTAGATAGAAGGCTGAAAAGTATTTTAAAATCACTGTTAATCTTTCTGATAATTGTGCCTAGAATTCTAATACAAATTATATACCTCGATTCGAGATAATATTATCTAATATGCTATATAGAGTATATATCCAATTAATAAATATACTAATCAATTCTTCTATAATCAAAATTTTTATATTAATAAAGTAATATATCTTTATTAATTTATATATTATTATTAGAATATGCTTATATATCGAATTATAATATTTATTTTCTAGAAGAGGTATAATATAGTTAATTGATATATTAGACTATATTCGAAATAGAATTGGAAAAGATTTTAAGAATCTCGGTGGAGTTGACTTTAATGATTTAATATAAGTATATAATATATATACTTACATATATATATTAATCTTCTAATACATATTT